GTAAGTTTTTCAGGGACTTTTTGTCGTGTAGTAAATTATTATTCTAATATAGAATGGTCTTGTATTTTTTAAATTAACGTTTTTATAGTGATTATAATATTTAGGAAATAGCTAATATTTTTAACTGTTTTAAATTGTTAAATCCCTTTTTTTGTATAATTTTTTCATTTTACCCATAATATCTTATTAATTATAATGTTTTGTAAAATTTATGTTTTGTTCAATGTTTTGTTCACATAGTATAAGTTATACTATAAAAATGTTAAGCATATTAAACTTTACCCTCCCCACCACCGACTCTTGGTCGTGTGTTGGAAGAGCGTGTTCCCTCGATTGTTCTGTCGAGTCTAAAGCTTTTGGGATTTATTGCTCTTCTTCTTCTTTATCAACGCCAAAGCAATTTCAACTCTTAACATTTTCTTAACTTAATAATTTTCTTCAACTTAAACATTATTTCAAATCTATGATCTCATAGCACCAGTTGTTCGTAAAGCCAACTACATCTACCATTATATTTTATAAATGTTAAATCTTTGCATAGAAAATATATATTACGCACATTAAGTGACGGAATTTTAAGTTATATAAATGAATGTTTCATTAAATCAGTTTTGTGGTTTTTATTACTTTGAAAGTTAAATGAAGTCTTTAATACGTTAAGACGTCGATGTAATAATCACAGATTTTCTTTTTTTAAGCAAAATGTCAGCTAAATAAATTAAATAACATCACACACAAAGCTTAATCCTAGTTAAAATTAAAATAAATATTTAAACAGATGGATCATAAAAAATACGAATTGTAATTTGTAATATTTCTTTTTAGGGTAAACTGATTTATCTTTCAGATAACCCGTTTTATCAACTGTATTTTTCAAATATAATTTTTCCTTAAATCAGCTTGATACTCAAACAATTAATTGTGAAATGATTTGAGAGGGGATTTTCACAAAAGGTGGAAAAACTAGAATCAAGGTTGAATCTGATGTGTTTGAAGAGGAGGATTTCACTTGATTCAAATTGATAAAAAGCAAGTTGAAAAGTCAAAGGCTTTTCTTAATGGGGTTTAATTGTTTCCTTTGATGAACGAACTTTTGATGAGATCTGAATTAAACGTGTAATGCGACACCTATTTGAATCAGTTTGTGATCAAACATCGGTGAAAGGGTTGTAAAGTAAGGGGGTTTGCCAGTTTAATGAAGAAATGTAAAATTTAAATTAAACCTAAAAGTCCAATTCATAAACTTTCTAACATACCTTTTAAAAATCCAAAATTTATCCACGCAATCAAATAAATCTTTTGAATAAGTTTGCTGAGTTTGCAGCGATGGAGTTAGTTTTCCATATAACAAGACATATTTTATTATTTTTTTATAGTATAAATTAGTCATACAAATATCACCAAACCATATTTCATACGAGTGTCTATAGCAGTTGCAGGTTACTTTCCATTAATTCACTGCCACTATATTCTTGTATTGCAATTTCGTTATTTTTACAGTTAACCTAGTCTATAAATATACCAATTATAAATAAACTATTCTGAAACAAATTAACAACTTGCTGATTATGAAAAGTTTCTGGTATTAAATTAGCGGAATCGCAATAAAAAAGTAGGGGTAGTAAATTAACGGAAAGCACCTATACAAAAGTATTTAAAAATAAAAAGAATACATCAGCAACGATTTGACAACCACTGTCAAAACCATGTCCGGGATGCTAACCATAATGTAATTATAGGATAGTAACGCGCTCCTGTCCAATGAATCAGTATTTACCGTTGAATCAATGGTACTTAGATTATTTTTGGGGCGAAATCTACAAATTATTTTGATTTTTTTTGTGGAGCCGTTACTCAGTTTTATTTTAAATTTTTGTGTATTTTTCGTGTACGTAAAGTTTCGAATTTGTTACTGTAGATTTATACTAGAGTTTTATTTTATGTTTTTATTACAATGATTAATGAATTACCTATTATACAATTTAATACTACATAACTGACTAATAAGCTAATACAACTATTTAATTTCCCTATACAAACTTATTTCTGTACACTAAACTAAACAACACAAATAGACTAACTTCTTATCCTAATGTAAATTTTTAAACTTGTTTTTCGTGTCTAGTTCATGTAGATCGACACTGATTGATAGTATAGACGACATTTTGTTTCTATTATTTTACGGTTATTTTTATGATTTATGCTTTACTATTTGGTTGTATTACTAGGAGACCAGTTATTGTTTAAGATTAGATAGTTTTATTTGGTTAAATGAGGCTTTAAATGACTGAAATATAACAAGAAACTAATTGTAAACAAAACACAATCTGTACATTGCGACGTACAGAACTAACAAGAAAATTTCCTTCAGCTGTTCCATAAGAATGAAAAATTTACTGTGATAAAAATATACAGTATAACTAACTTATACACTAACACAGCCCTTTAGTTTCCCTATACAAACATATCTCTTTAAACTGTTGTTTGGGGAGCGAGCTGGTGTAGTGGTTAGAGCACGGGACTTCAGCCCCTGAGGGCCCGGGTTCGATCCCCACCAAGTCACCAATGGATTTTATACAAGTGATAATGCCGCAACCCCTAGGTCTAGCCTGAAGAAATGTGAAAAAACAATCCCAGGCTCGTGCCTAGCGTCCTAGGAAAAAAACTGTTGAGGAAATTTATAACAGCTGTGACGGTGAAGATGATAACGGGGATCCAGTTCCGTATGTTGTAACAGTGATTTTCTACACGCTGTAGCCGTCGGTGCAGTAATGTAGAGTTCCCACACCAGGGGCTGTCAGAATTAATTAACTACCAATCTGCGTGTGAGTTAATACGATGTTAGCAGACGACGCTCCGGGCTGGCGTTTCTTGTGAAAAATCTCTTTCCAACAAAGATGATTACACTTGATTAAAAATTTGCTCTGTTTCCAACAAAATTGAAAATAACTCAACAATTAATAATTATATTATTAGAATAGCCATGTATAGCAGGTTATATAGTACGTTTAATATTTACATTGAATTAATTTGGTTATGACAATGGTCTTATTAAACATTGTATTTTATCCGTCCACACACGTCTTGGTCCTGTACAATAATATTCAATAAATATACCATCACAAAGTTAATGTTGTTATAAGTGTTTCAATAAAAATAGATGTAGTAAAATGTAGGAAACGAAAAATTCCTCCGATGTAAATTACAGTTTTCTGTCGTATATGACAACTCCTTAACTAAGCACAAAGGCGAGACGGCTATAGGAAGGTATTGAATATTTTATATCAGTATACTGTATACATTAAATGATCAAATGACTTTCGTCTGCATGTCCATATAAGTCCTCAACAGTTTTTTTAAGACAAGCTTGAAATTATACCTAAAACAATATACAAGTAGTGTTTTGAGCATTGAAACCTATAATACACAAATAGTTCAATCTGTAGCGTAGAATTGAATATTAAACACATTCGATTTGATAAACACATAAAAACAAACGCGGTGCTAATAACTATTATGATTGTATTTGAATGCAAACACTGGTTGTAATTATACAATAAAATTATGTTGGTTCCACAATATTATCACTAGTGCTGAATTCTCCATCAATATCGTCTCATTTTAATTCAATTAACCCATTTATCCATTCATGCTACACTCACGCTACGTTTAACTAATTTGCTTATACATGTTAGAAATCATCAACTTAGACTAGTATATTATTTTTTAGCTGATTCAGTACATTAAATTCATCGACCTTATAAAATATGCATGGAAATAAACTATCATTTAGATTATTATTTATTAGGTAAGTTTATGTACGTTAACTATCCACAAATAGTTATATTGTTGATATACCTTGACATTAAAGCAATTTACTTATTCTTACTTTTTATTATTTATAGTGAAAGTAAGAACATTTTCCTTTGTAATAAAACAAAGATAAAACCCAGCACAAGGACTAAAAGCGAGAACCTCCTCAAGCAGCAAATGCAGGTTTTGTCTTAGGTAAACTGTGCGTTGACACTACCAGCGCCTTGGGAATTGTAGAGATAAAAGGGATGACGGTAACATTCTTATTTGAAATAATTCTTTTAAAAAGGTACATGGTACGCAACAATTATTATTCATGTGCAGCATGGTGTTAAATAAAATATAACAAGTTAATCATACTACTAAAATAACAGGTCATAAGGTATAATATTCGAATCGTATATTTATTTTGGATTCGTAAGAATGATGATACCATAAAAAAGTTATAATTATTTTATCCATGGATATATAACATAAGCATATTTGAGCTAAGATGGTATCCAGAAAAAACCGTGGATAAGACAATTACTTATAAGAATACATATAAATATCACATATATAAAAATTCTCTTCAACTCTGTTCATTCTCGAAGTCATCGAATATTTTCTCGCGTTTGTCATAATCTTGTACTGTACCAAGATTCAACGTATAGCTATATTTAAAATTGCCTGATAATTATTTGTATTCTTAGCGGTCAATTTTATTATTTTTTTCATAATTTATTTAGGTTAGGACTTAATGTAGCCTATCGTGTACCGAACCATTTAAAAAAGTATGTTTAGTAACTCAATATGTAGCCTGCAACACATTGTAACTATTTATGTGCATTGCCTTTGTGTTTCGGTGACACATGGTGTAGTCTGTGAAGCAATGTATTTATTCATTGTGTTTGTGTTTCAGTGACTCACCGTGTACCCTGTGATGCCATGTATTCATTGCTATTCATTGCTTTTATGTTTCAGTGACTCATGGTGTACCCTGTGAAGCAATGTATCTATTCATTGCCTTTGTGTTTCAATGACTCACGGTGTAGCTTTTGAAGCAATGTATCTATTCATTGCCTTTGTGTTTCAGTGACTCAAGGTGTACTCTGTGAAGCAATGTATCTATTCATTGCCTTTGTGTTTCAGTGACTCATGGTGTACTCTGTGAAGCAATGTATCTATTCATTGCCTTTGTGTTACAGTGACTCACGGTGTAGCCTGTGATGCCATGTATCTAGGCAGTGTTTCGGCTGTGCCGGACAAGACCGAGGACTCTAGCATGACTCATTGTCCAGTCTCAAGGACAATATCGTTCCTAGGAGTCGCTATCCTCGTCCATCTCATTGTCATCACCTCATTGGCTGATAGAGGTACAGTGGATATTGTACTATATATTATCTCGAATATAATAGTCAAGCCTTTGACGACGTTCCACTGATTTCAATTTATTTACTATCAACAATTCAAGTGGACTTTTTAAAATGAGGCTTTCCTTTTTCAGAATGATTTATTTATTTTTTAAATAAGTAATTTCTTAAAATTACCTTTGACCTCTCAAGATTCAAGTACAACATACATCAACAAAAGTATTAATGCATGTCTACCAAAAGAGTTAGTGCCCAAAAATGTGTCTATTTAGTTTAAGTAATTTATGTCACCCTGTGATTATACTACATACTACAATTGGTGATAAGTAGCAGAACCCCAAAGTATCATCGATTTTGCTATGGAACTGGGACTGGATGGGGTATTCCAGAATACTTAAGAACCAAAAAGTGAGATTAAAGAAATTTCCATGATCCTACACTTTCTGTGACAATATAAGTATCATATCTTTGTCATACTACACAAACGAAATGCTTCTCCACTATAAAAAAAATCTATGTCATGAATGTGAACGGATTGAGGATACTGACCTCATGTGTATGATACAAATGGAATAGCGTGATGTTACTTTCAATAAAACAGTGGAATTGAGGAATACATGTGTGACAGTAATGTCCCATGTCACAGTTTCGCGAATAGAAGTCGATAGTTGTCTCAGTGCAAGCCAAGCCATGCGACAAAATAACATGCAACAGTTGTCACTGCAGAAACGTTTGTAGTTCTGCGTACTTGGTTCAGTTGCTGTGAAAAACTGTAGTCTCACAAACTGTGTATGTTTTTGGCCAAATCACTATATTTGTTTTTTTTATGGAAACATGGGTTCCAATAATAGATCCAATGAAATATTCGTATCATTGGCTACGTTACCATTTCTTTATGTATAGAGGTTAAAAGTATGTGTTGTTGCAAAAACCTTAGCTAATAGTGTGAATTCGGCCCCAATTTTTCCAAAGTAAATGATAAATTATAACTGAATTTGGATTATGTGGTCAATATGGAAGAGTAGCTGTAGTCCACAACTAATCACTTTGCGAACTATATTTACAAGACTAGTTGAAAATTTTACTTACTCCTTTACATCATAGTAAACTATCCAGTCATCATTTTGAAAATCAGTTAATTAATTTAGACAGTTATACCTTAAATGCTATGTAGACTGCATGTGTATGTAAATGTTTAGGATATGCTTATTATGAATAATATAAGAAATAAAGGTGAGTTTAGAACAAAATAGGAAGATTTAAATCTGCCACACTAGCCAGAATGTTTTATTAGAAGCCAAAAACTGAAGACTTTTATGCATGATTGAACCAAAGACCTGCTTGGCGAAAACTTAACTGTTTCGACTCCCCTCCCCCTAATTCAATAGTCCTAAATCACACACAACTCTCAACACACTCATACTGTACGTTCCTGAATTCTTTGTACCATATTCCAGGGCCCTCAGAAGAAAGCCAGGATGAGCTGCCTCGAAGCAAGCGGAGTGTGGAGTCCAAGCACCATCGGAACGTGGAAAACACAGTAGGGCAAGAGAGTGCTACCCGCAGTGCAGTGTTCGCTACAGAGAACTCTACTGTTGTGACCGCTCAGATGGCAAGCACAGCAACGCTGCCCTGCACCGTCAGAAAGTTTGGCACGGGCGTTGTAAGTGATTGTAGAATTTACAGAAAAAAATATATGACAAGTCTAAAATCTAGTGTAGTTTACATTTCATTATAATATAATTAGGATCATTTCAATTTGCAATTTTCGTAGGGTTAAACTAGTATAATTGACTTAAAGTAAAATATATATTCGATCCATATGAATCTGAATCAGGGAATTTGTATTCAAATATTCAAATTAGAACATAGATGAACTCGTATGTTTTCTTGCTACTTTAGTATTATACCGACCACGCATATATTGGTTACCCCTAGGTTAGGTTAGGTTGGTTGATTAGGCTAGGTTATCTTCAGGTTATCTTATCCTAGCCTAATCTAACCCAATTTCAGTGTAGTCGGTATAATACCAAAGTACCGATTTCTCTTTTGAGGAAATTTTGATAATCTTTCACCTATAAAGTATGCTTATAAAGTACAGGAAATGTTTCCTTAAGCTTAGCTTTGGTAAAAAATGAATATCCAATAAAAAATGTCTTTTAGAAATTAAAGCAATGCACTCTGTCGGTGATTCTATTCCACTACGTTGAACTTTAGAGAAAAATCGGCTACGACATTAGCATTGAAATGGAATGTCTACTACATAGACAAAGGTAATATCTTAGGTTGTAACACTAATCTACATAATGTTGCTGAAAGAATATTGTAAAGATTTCCCAGTGGAAGAGTTGAATATAAATTTATCTTGTCGTACAGCGAAAAGGCTACAAAATATAAAACAAATTTTGATCAAGAAAAAAATTATAAATCCCAGTTTACCAACCCAACGGTCAGTAATCTACGTATCCGCAAATTTCGAGCTACATATTTTAGTTATATATATTTTGAATGATTTTATCAGACTATAGATCAATTAAAGCATAGTTATAAAAATGGGTTAAACAAAACTAGTATCATTAAAAAACAAAGCGCGTTTTCATAAGTTATAATATTTAAGAGAAGTAATTTTTACATTATTGAAACACAATTTTAGGTTTTCTTTTTTTGTGTGTATACGACATGTTAATAAATAATATTTTCAAAAACTACTAACTAAAATAGCATCGCTACCATTATTTTCCTGTACATCAACAATGAAAATAGAAAAAAAGATACACTTACGTTCAATGTTTTTACAATATAACACTCCGATGTTTACATAACAATGTAATTTCACCGGGTTTAAACTAAATTTAACTCATTGATATTGTTTGTTTTTGTTCGTATTCGATGTGAAAAATTCACTGAATAATAATTTATCTTAAAATGTTGACGTTTACTAAACCTTAAACTATTTCATTTGTTATTTTTATTTTAAATAATGCTAAATTGGATACAAAATATATTTCAGGATTTGCCTTGTGCCATAATCAATATCTTTATGCAGTTGCCACATGTTTGGGTTCTGCCTATCCATTTTTCGTACTCTTGGATATTTCAAGTGAAATTTCGATCCTGATCTTAACTCGGCTGTTTAATTCCAGTTAAGTTTGAGTCTGCTGTCGTTGAATATAACTTTTCTTATAAAAAATCCATTCACTACGATTTACTTAAATTATTGCCTAAGATGAAAAACTAGTTGATAAAATAACGTTTTAGTTCGTCACATCAAAACTCATTCTACTCGTACATGACGAAATCACCTTTTAAAATGTCCCATAATAAAAAAAGATCAACGAAGTTTTTTTTAGTTATATTTAACAGCTCTAATCTTCCACCCGACCTTAAAACATTGATGTTGCACCAATGCACCAATGCAGAATGCAGTAATATCGATATCTCTGCCAATGTTTTGATAACTTCCAACAACAGAGTAAGCCCTCACTTTGAATGCATTGCTTTTGTACCATTAACCTATATCTGTATACTGAATACAATAAGTGTTTGCACTGTAATACCCCTCTTTGCAATCGTTCTAGTTCTGCTTAAGAGATTTTTACGAACCAAAATATCTATATACTTAATACAAATAAGGGGTTTCACTGGAACATATACTTTTTAACTGTACGATTGAGATGTATTTTTATGATCTTGCAAATCGACGACTAGCAACTAAAATTAAATTTCCTTCAGGACGTATCCTCTAGCGCTTGCTTTATTACAATTAGCTGCAGATCCAGGGCTGTGGACCAAATTTCTTAAAAAAAATTCAAATTCGTATTGTATTTTTTGCTGATCATACGGGTAAATAATGGTTTACTACAGTAAGATTGTGAACAAGAAAAGAAACAGTTTGTGAAAACTGGTTTTAAATTAGGTTCCATTTTATTTTCAATCTTAACTGTGACTGAAAGCAAACCACTCTTCATAATACAAGTTGGATGTAAAGTAATCAAACTAAATTGTTATAAATTATTAAAATAATAACTAGTTTTTTGACATGAGTGTTTCAAAACATAATGCTCGAAAGGTAGAAGGGTATTTGCCTCAGAAACAATTTTTATCTCAATTTAAATAATCAATTCCGCGCAACTCCATCGTATCATAGATAAAAAAAAATTAAATATGGACCGTCGGCCTTGCTGCGCCTTCTATGGGTAAAATAATTTCTGGCGCACACCACTGGGAGCGCCGTGTAACACCGTAGCACTTACGCCGCAACTACATGGCGCTCCCAGCGGTGTGCACCAGAACCTATGGTAACCGCAACAGCTGACGGTCTATATTTAATTATTTTTGTCAATGATCGTATACATTGAACGTGAAAATGTGTATTAGAAAGTTATGATACATTAATCATATGTTTTACAACATCACATGACTGTTCCAGGTGTCCTGGATTAGACGGAAGGACTTCCAGCTGTTGACTGTAGGACTAGCCACATACAGCAGTGATGATAGGTTTATGGTAGAACATGCCAGGCATCTCCAGGTATGTTCAACAATATTTTTGGTTATCCTAAATGTCCTAAAATTTGGATGTGTTAGGCCTAAACGCCCTACTCTTATGTTCTTCGGAGCTATACTTGGCCCAGAACCTTTTTACACACAATTTTATGCTAGGTCAATAAGATCGTACCGTACCTTATACAGGATGAAAAATATGTATTGGATTATAAAAAAAAGATCACATGTAAGAGAATATATTCCTACAAATTAAATTGTACACAGATAATATCATATTAGTTATTTAACACGTTAGCATAAATTACTCCCCATAATATTGCATAATTACTGTAGCGGACAATGCAATAAGCTAAGAGCCTCCGTTCAGACATTGGTATTAATGTTATTGATAATGGGTCTGTTATTGATAATCGAGTTTGATTCTGTTATATCTCATTAATTATTTGTTACAAGACCATTTGTTTGCGTAGATTTTTATAAAAAAATATATCATTATCAAAAATATTATTACCACAATTGCATATTGTCGGAAAAACCTCAACTCTCCATAATTATGTGTTAGCAATACCACTTATAAATCTAATTAATTTTTATTAACGTCGATTGAAAATTATAATAAAGTCATATACAACTATGAATATTATGAAATATGAATATTAAATCCATTTCAATATAAAATAATATATATTTAGTCAAGTGTAAAACAAAACAGTTATGATAATTACTTCATTCGGCTTTTTAAAATTCTAATTAGTGATTTGCCGGTACAAGAACGCAATTGAATACCAAACAACATTTTAGTCAATGATTACACTTCAGTCCTATTTGGTTTTTTAGGAGAGTAGCAAACTGCTATGGCAAAACATATCAACAATAAACAACAGTTAAAGGTTAATGGATACAAGTATGTGGGGAAAGTGTTCATAGCATATTTATAAAAATTGAAATGATTGAAATTTATTATACTTTTGAAACCGGATGCAATATAAATAAACAATAGAAAACATTTAACAAAATGTCATATTATTGATATCATTACATACGTATCCTTCCCTTTGCACTCCATTATTCCATTTTATATTGTTAATTATGAACTTTGCCACCTAAAATTTCAGTACCCGGAACAGTTTGGACCCTAAAGTTTAACGTTACATCCTGACCTACTAGTAAAATTAAAAAAAAAATCGGCTAAGAAAATTTAGGGGTTTTTAAGCAGCCCAATGATCAAGCAGGACAGAAGGAGCTACTAAATATAGGCCCACCCTGTACCTTTCACCACACTATTTTCTTCTCTTCCTTAAGGAACCGTTTCAGGTGTTTAGTAAATGCATCATTCTTGTTTCCAGAACTGGGGTCTCCAAATACACAAGGTGCAGAAATCCGATGCTGGAATGTACGAATGTCAGGTTTCTACCCATCCTCCAACAAGTATATTCGTTGAGCTGAAAGTCATAGGTAAGAGGCACTACATTTTATCACACAGTAAAACTAACTATGTAGGCCTACACAATTTGTTTAGACATTTTAATAATTTAAGAAATATTTGTTATCAAAAATATTTGTATAAAATACGATAAAAATGCTGAATATGAATTGGATGGCGCTTTTAAGATCTTATGATAAGCATTATACAGTAGTAATTTTGAAAGTATAGAGTTAAATGATAATCAAACTTTAATGAAAGTATTGCAATTCAAAATTTTTAGACGACTGCAATCTTCTTAATTTTTTTTATTATTATTTTAGAGATATGGCTAGTGTTCTTTGGCATTTTAAAATAGCATTTGGAGTCGTAAATAGCATTAGACTATATTTTTAGGTAACTATTTCTATAATTTAGTAATTATATAAGTTATTCGCAACAAAAATGTATATATAACAAACCTACTCAAACAACAAGTTCTCAAACAAAGTAAAGTTCCTACTTTACGATAACCGCACTCAACTATTGTTGGTTTCTATTGTCTAATAATCAAACACAAACATAGCTGTCAGTATCTTCAGACATAGGAAAATTTGAGCTTCACCTAAAGATATAATGCTGCATTGCATTTTGAAATGTTGACCATTGTTTTTATCAATCCGACGATGCAGTCATGACCCGAAATGCTATATCACAGGTAAGGTACATAACTTCCAGTTCTGGTGTGTTGGACTAAAAATATACTTGAGACGAGCAAGGAAGAACCAGAGAAGGAAGCAATGTCCGGAAATTACCATGGCACAGGGTCGTCTTCCACCGTGAGCGTTGTAGTACATGGTTGTAAGGGATGGTGGTGATATTTGCCCCATACACCAGCACTAGAGCTAGACACTACTAAAGTGTACTATAAAGTGTATCTTCTATACCTTACCTCTCTTTGCAAGGAAAAACTCAAACGGCAATTAATTCCTATCACAGAGCACAGGGTCTTCTTCCATTGTGAGCGTTGTAGTACATGGTTGCAAGGGGCGGTGTTGAACTTTGCCCTAAACACCAGCACTAGAGCTAGACACTACTAAAGTGTAACATGGAGTGTATTCTCTATTCCTTATCTCTCTTTGCAAGGAAGAACTCAAACGGCAATTCCTATCACAGAGCACAGGGTCGTCTCCCACCGTGAGCGTTGTAGTACATGGTCGCAAGGGGCGGGGTTGAACTTTGTCCTAGTCACCAGCACTAGAGCTAGACACTACTAAAGTGTACCATCAAGTGTATCCTCTATTCCATACTTTTCTTTGCAAGGAAGGATTTAAACGGCAATTTATATCACAGAGCACAGGGTCGTCTCCCACCGTGAGCGTTGTAGTACATGGTCGCAAGGGGCGGGGTTGAACTTTGTCCTAGTCACCAGCACTAGAGCTAGACACTACTAAAGTGTACCATCAAGTGTATCCTCTATTCCATACTTTTCTTTGCAAGGAAGGATTTAAACGGAAATTTATATCACAGAGCACAGGGTCTTCTTCCATTGTGAGCGTTGTAGTACATGGTGACAAGGGGCGGTGTTGAACTTTGCCCTAGACACCAGCACTAGAGCTAGACACTACAAAAGTGTACCATGGAGTGTATCATCTATTCCTTACTTCTCAAGGAAGAACTCAAGAGGAAATTCCTATCACAGAGCACAGGGTCTTCCACTAAAGTGAACGTTCTGTGTTGGACTTTGCTCTTGACACTATCACTAGTGCTAGACATTACTTGAATGTACCATTAAACGTTTCCTCTGTACCTCACTCATTTGTGCCAATATGCACACCCCTACTTCAAACTTACCTTCTCCTCTGTGCCAATATTCACACCCCTACTTCAAACCTACCTTCTCTAACGTCCAATAACATTACAGAGGCAATCGCAGACATTCTCGGCTCGCCAGATCTCCACATCAAGAGCGGGAGTCAGCTGCGGCTGGTTTGTACTCTAAGACACAGCACAGAGGCCCCCGTCTATGTGTTCTGGTACCACGGGGACAGGATGATCAACTACGACAAGGAGAGAGGGGTCAGCGTGAGGAGCGATCGCAAGAGTAGTGTGTTGGCGATCAGCACAGCTGACAAGACTGACAGTGGCAACTACACGTGTGTACCCTCCAATGCTAAACCTGCCACCATCAACGTGCACGTGCTCAACGGCACGGTGGACGGTGAGTTGGCATCCTTGAAAGGCTAGTGCATTTTTGTTTTGGAAATTTAAAGTCATCAGAACAGCTCAAGGCTGAACAGAGTAGTTTACCTACTAATTGCAATCCATTTAATAGCAGTCGCTACTAGTTTCGACTCCTTTGTGGAGCCATCGTCAGGGACAAGGACTTCTTTCTTCACATGAAAAGTGTCATATTGAACACATAAACTCTTCATGTGATAAAGAAGTCCTTGTACCACCTGATGGCACATAGGAGTCAAAACTAGTTGCTACTGCAATGAAATGGATTGCTTGATAGCAGGTGCTTACACCTTTTTAAATATTATTTGGCAATCCAAAGGATAATTTCTACGATGAATATGACAAAGTAGGTCTTTACTTGAGACACTATTCATCTTTCTGAACACAAAAAACATCTCCTTAAACTGTTATTGACACTCAAACACTACCCTCATTGTCTATCAAAACACAAAATCAGCTATAAATTTATCTAGTTCACAATTATTTCACGATTTTTTACTGAAATTGACAAAACATTTGAAATTCCAGGTGAGAAGCCAGCTGCGATGCAGCACGGCGGTAGAAACTACGCGTCACAGCTGACTACAACCACGTTACTACTGATGACGTCAGCAGCCTCTCTCATCAGATGATCTTGCTGAACAAGACAGTAAAAGGATTGGTGCTAGTTGTACAACGTAGAGCCAACGGTGTCCAGCTGGAGAATGTAACCAAAGTTTGAAAAAGTGTGTAACATTCTCCACTGGCACGCCTGGAACTTTATGGACAAGTCTTTTCATATCCTACATGTTTTCTCGTCTGTTTTACTAATGCAGACTATTAGGTTGTTAAGGCAACAATGTGATAAAGTATACTGAAGGTGTGAGGCGAGCCGATATTTTTCTCGATTGTATATAGTGTTGTTGAATTGTTGATGGGTTCCGCAATAATGCGTTAATGTTGCTGTGGTTTACTAAGAATTGATAGTGAAGTAATGTATTACTTTTTTGGTTTTATTTGTTAGTTTATAAAAACGTATAATTGACCCTAAGTGTTGGTTTTTTGTAAAACGTGAGATGAATAAAAGTTTCAAAAGTTTTTGGATTACACACGTAAATAATTAAGTTTTACTTTTTTATCCTACAGTAAAACTATTATAAATATAAATAAATCAGGTTTACATTTACCCTAACTTATTTAAAAGTTTTAAGTGGTACACAATTAATGTGTTTCATCCTTTTTTAAATTCTATATACATAATTATGGTCTGTATCGAAATAAAATACACATATTTTGTTAATATATAAGTGCCATAAACAAAAACATCTGCAATATTTCTTTGAAAATGAGATTTACTAAGAAATAAAAATATTTGAGTACTGACCAGGATTAACGAATGAATAAGATTCTTAGTTCAGAGAGGTCTAAACTGATAACCAAGATAGAAAATTTCCAAAATTAATTGAAGAAACCATTTGAGAATACCTAGCCCTACTTTACTAACATCGAACTAAATGTAAATTGAATCTTAATTTTACATTCGTTGATATGCTTTAAATGAAAATTTTAATTTTGTGCTTGCAATAGTAATTAATAATTTACTATACTTATATTTTCCTAATACGTATTACACAAGTTGAGTATTTTAAACTTTAACCTGTATAAATTTGATCGTATACTTTGTCTTACATGTACAATTCTAACGTATTCATCAGTTTTATACGTTAGATTTATTAGTAACACAGAACATTGTAAATATGTTATTCAGTTATTTGAAATACGTACTAAATATCTCAATTGTAATTAAGACAAGTTGTTTACATTGGTGGACAGTATTATGATAATTGTAATTATAATAAATATAGGTCTTTTAAAGTAATCATGTTTTACTATCCTGTTTATATAAATTGAAATAATTACATTTTATTCAAGTTATACTTTTATACGAATTGTGTACAAGTATAAATTTTTTAATCAGTTTATTTTTTTTATATTACTAATAGAGATAGTAGTTATATAGACTTAACATATTTTACCAAATTTCCAAATATGAGCGAAGGAAGATTGAGAAAATAAGTAAGATGTCTTTTGTAGCTTTTTTACTAAATCTGTTACATTAGACAGGACCAATTTATTTGCCCACAGGTGGGTCTAGGTTCAAAATATAAAAAATCTACTTAACTCATGATTTTGTGGAAAAGCTATTATTGAAGCAGAGCTACACGAAATATAGCCCTTCTACTGTTATTTGCAGTAATAACCAATGTACCAGTGAGATGCGACGAGGATATAGTCTGTGTGGTGGAACCTGTCTCGTGGCCCTCCACTAACCTGAGGGCGAGTGTCGCTTTTGTTCCGCGGTATAAGGATAATTTCATTCACATCACTTTTGTTCCTGGGGTCAGCTGGTAGATTTAGGAGCCGGTCAAAACATTGCTTTTGTTCTGCGTACATCTCTCTTGTTCCGCGAGAGAGGGGGGTGCACTCCCCCTCCCCCAAATCCCCTATTTAGCTATCTTTCTTTCATAGGTAAGGTTAAATTATTTAAATTATTGATATTTTTGTCACGGAGAAAATGATAATTCAACGAGTCATAAAGCCCGCATAAAAGAGATAATTAGGAGGAGTGCAAAAGAGAGGAATTAGGGTGGGAGAGTACAGCCCCCTCTTTCGCGGAACAAGTGAGATGTCTGCGGAACAGAAGCGATGTTTTGGCCGTTCCTGAAATCTACCTGCTGTCTCCTGGAACAAAAGTGATGTGAAGAAATTTGCCTTTAACTATGGAACAAAAGTAATACAGCCACCTGAGGACTGTGAAGTGTTTAAGACCCCGGGTATTCCCAAATAGACTGAGCACGTCCTCTAGGTTATACTCCTGACAATTACTAACGTTTTTCAAGAATTTTATATTTTTAATTTGACGATTCCTTAAAACGGTGTTTTAAGGACCAACTTATACTCTAGAGTCAAGCATGATAAATAAATAACAAATAGGAGAAGATGCCACAGTAATCGTTTTGGCATAAAATTATTGTTCATTCCCAGGCTCTAGCATTGCTAGACCTATGAAGGAAAACACTCACACACACAGAGTAACAATTCAACGCAGACAGAGGATTGTTTAATATTTCCGTCGTGACCGGAAGTGGACGGATCAAAGCCAAGTCTCGTCCACCGGAAACAATAAACAGTCCGTTGTCATGACAACGTGCCTGTGACAATGTAGCCTGTGTACCACGTGACTAGAAGTGTTGAGCCCATTGTGTTGTGAAGCGAATAATGAAACATGTTTTGTATTTCTGATAGTGTCGACCACACTATGTAACTAATGGATTGAAAATGGGGTTTTTGAAGTATCCACAGCAAACATGATGAAGTTAAGTTTTTGTTCTAGTAGCGTCCTAGGCTCTGTCCTGGGAACGTTTTACATTACTAGGCTAAACATAGGGGTTGTGGCATAATAGGTAAGTACAATCCATTGTCGATTTGGCGGGATTTGAACTTGGAACCCCATGTACCGATGTCCTACTACTACTAGACCATCTCGCTTCCAGGGCCTCTTCACACTGGGCCACCATGGTGGCGACACCGGTGGCGACACTGGTGGCCGGTGAAAATGTGCATGGACCACCAGCTCAGCCACCAGTGCAGCTGCAGCCACAAAGCTTACAGTTGGATGTCGAAGAGGCAGGTGCTTAGCATATCTATTTTTTTTTAAGTGGGGTCGACGAAGAAGTTCAATAGCTACTTTTGAAGAACTTTGATCCCATTTTTTTATTTAATCCACCATACCTTTTAGATTGAAGAGGGTGAAAATAATCTATATGGAAATAATTATATCAACCTAAAAGTGATTATTAACCAGGATTACTTACTCGTTTTAAGAATTTTTGCTGTATGTCGTTTTAATACAAGGTATATAATCACATAATTAGTGCTTAACTACTATGGTGTCAACAACAAATTATAAATGATCAACTGCAACTGTTTCCAAACCTCCATAAACTCAATAAAAACATTTCCCCGCTCAATGCACCTTTTATTTATGTCCCTACTGCATGTTTGGCTTTTTAACTCAATAGTAATGATAAATATACGAGTGGGGAAAATTATATATCTAAACATGAACTTTAAAGAAGACACGAACTCAACGCAAGAAGCTTGAAAGATATTAAATAACTATTTCCCCATTTAACCTCTGTAGGTGTGGTGGTTTGTTGGTTATTGTGTTCTATGTTACACGCAATGTAAACACAATATTGAACACGATACACAATATTTATTAGATACAAGAGCACAATACACGTTCTGATCGTCTGTTGGTCTATCATTGCCGATGCTCTTTGTACCAGGACTGCCACAAAGGTCAACTGCCTAATTGGATGATACTGTACATAATTAAATCAATTTTAACCACATGTTGGTGATGATGGAACAAAATTATGTATTGTTTATCCATAAATTGAAACTTCAGTAGGAATATTCTCACAAAAGGAAGTTATCGTGATATAAAAACCATTAGGTGGTTGAATAAACCAGACTTGACAAATGTCGCCAACTTGGGTTGGTAAGTTCGTCAACAAATTGCACTTATGAACATAAACGTATCCAAACCATAATTAAACCCCTTCTAACCACACCACGTGTGTTTTGTCCAAAATATTTTAAAATATCTTCCTAATTTGATAAAAGAATTAAATCTCGAGATGATGAAAACCAAAATTAACTGGCACATGGGGCTCTAAACAATATTAGGACGTTTATGGAGATCATATGGGTCAAAGACGATTGAAGCAGAAAAACAAAGACATTAGGTGAAGTCGAAGGAGAGATAAGACTACGGCTATAAATCTAGGAAAGCCTTTGAGAAAGACGAAACGATTCTGAGAGAGAAACGAAAACCTACAACCTTGGCCTTCAAACTGTGAAACCCTTGTCTTTGTTTACATTGCCTCTCAATTTAATACTCATTGTTATAGTATCCATGACAACAGCATCCATTCAAAGGCCATTAATAAAACTAAAAATAAATAAAATAAAAATAATAATAATAATTCTAATATACACGGGTAATCAAATCAAGTCCTTCAAGAGCTACTTTGTGCTTTACAATGTAGTAATTGAGAAACAACAATACCATCTAGTATTCTCTCAGTGGAGGTAAACACTATTTGTTTCAAAACGTAAAACTATCTCTGACCCTCGAGGTTCAAGCAAATTAATTGAAGATTTCCATAGAGCACAAAACAAATGGCTTGTACTGTGAGCTTGTTGTTGTAATAACTTCGTTGAACAACAATTTAACCATCTTCGCCTATACCAATTTCATCCTTTCCATCCTTTTTCAGTAATTAAGTAGTATTTTTTAAATAATTCTTGTTAATTCTATCCAATTTTATCCACTGACAGCCTTTTGTAGGTTGTAAATCGTGAGAAATGCTTTTATATAAAATTAGTTTCCTTTTATTATTTTTTTATTTTCAAAATTAAATATTTAGTTGTTCTGAGGATTACATGAAAGAGTTTCATACAATTACTATTTTGTTCCTATTTACAATAGATCCAGTAAAAAAAAATACTGGAAATCTTATAAAGATATTATTGGGTGCACAAATAGTTTACATGTATTATATTACGAAATGTTGCCTTGTTATTTCATAACCAAGACGTAATCATTTCCGAATTTAATTCACAGGTTGAGTTTGTAAACACACAGATTTTATTTTTATTTAATATACATAGGACTACTAAGGCTAGACTTATTAACCAATATGTGTTGCAGTAAAATATATTTTAGTACTTTAAAGATAGTTAAAAATTATTTATAAAATATATCCTTCTTTTAAATTCATAAATTATGTTATATACGATTCACTACGTAATATACGAATATACGAAATATAATTTTAAGAGAAAAAGAAAACCTTTATAACTCATTTCCCTGAAGAATATTTTTTTTCATAAACCAAAATACGCAGCGCTGGCCCTGGGGGTGAAAGGAAATTAATTGAAGATCTCTTTGGAACGCAAAACCGAATAAATTAAAGGCTATAATACACCCGAGACTTGTTTCCGCAATAACTTACCCAAACATTAATCCTCCT